ATGGACTCTATGTACTCCAACAAGGTATGGACCTTGGTAGATCCACCTGAGGGAATCGTTCCCATAGGCTGCAAGTGGATCTATAAGAAGAAAATTGGAGTAGATGGAAAGGTATCGACCTACAAGGCTAGATTGGTAGCGAAGGGTTATACTCAAAAGCAAGGAGTTAACTATGAGGAAACCTTCTCTCTAGGTGCTATGCTCAAGTCCATTAGGATTTCGCTGGCCATCTTTGCGTGGTATGACTACGAGATATGGCCAATGGATGTGAAGACCGCTTTCCTTAATGGGGACATTGAGGAAGAAATTTACATGGCGCAGCCGGAAGGCTTCATATCTTCTAGAGATGAGAAAAAGGTTTGCAAACTCCAGCGATCCATTTATGGATTGAAACAAGCATCCCGTAGTTGGAATAAAAGGTTCGACACAACTATCAAAGAGTTTGAATTTGTGAAAACCCGGAGGAACCTTGTGTCTACAAGAAGGTTAGTGGGAGTGCAGTGACTTTCCTTGTACTTTATGTTGATGACATACTACTCATTGAGAATGATGTAGGGATGTTGCAGTCAACTAAAGTATGGTTCTCCACACGTTTCTCGATGAAGGATTTGGGAGAAGCATCCTACGTATTAGGAATACGGATCTATAGAGATAGATCGAGGAGATTGCTTGGCTTGTCCTAATCCATGTACATAGACACCGTTCTTAAATGGTTTAGCATGGAAGAATCCAAGAAGGGATTCTTGCCAATGTCCCATGGGGTTTGTCTCTCAAAATCCATGCGTCCTCAAAGGCAAAAGGAAATCGAGGAGATGAAATGGACACCTTATGCATCCGCTATAGGAAGCATAATGTATGGCATGCTGTGTACACGACCTGATATTGCGTATGCTGTGAGCGTCACAAGCAGATATCAGTCCGACCCCGGCCCAGCCCATTGGAAGGCTGTGAAGGACATTCTGAAGTACTTGCGAAGAACTCGAGATTTGTTTTTGGTCTATGGGGATACCGAGTTGAAATTAGAAGGCTTCACGGATTCTAGTTTTCAATCGGACGTCGATGACTCGAAGTCAAACTCGGGGTATATATTCAAAGTCAACGGGGGTACCGTGTGTTGGAAGAGTTCCAAACAAGGCACGACGGCTGATTCCACCACCGAGGCTGAATATATTGCAGCATCAGATGCTTCAAAGGAAGGGTCATGGATTAGGAATTTCATCCAAGAGTTGGGTGTATTTCCGAACGCTAGCGATCCAGTACGGCTGTACTGCGATAACAACGGAGCCGTAGCGCAAGCTAAGGAACCAAGAGCTCATCAGAAGACGAAGCACGTGTTGAGAAAATACCATGTGATCCGAGAGATCATAGAGAGAGGTGAAGTCAAGCTAGACAGAGTCACCTCGGAGGACAATATTGCAGATCCCTTCACCAAGCCATTGTCAGGATCAGTCCACGAGAAACATCGAGAGTTGATGGGACTTAGATTTATGAGTAGTTGGCTTTAGGTCAAGTGGGAGATTGTTAAAGTAGGTGACCAACAAGCCAACTTGTGGCTGTGGTCTTTCTATTTTTCCTTGTAATAAAACGATCGTTTTTCGTTCGTAATAATAAAATATTTCATTTGGCATTCTATATCTCTTATCCCATGCAAAAAGCATAGATATAGTCCTAACGAGTTACTCTATTACTGTGAGTTGGTCTAGTAGAATCGTGAGATAACTCATCAATGTAATGTAACTGTTAAACCTTGTTCCTAGTCGATGGGTTACGCCAATAATGAAGATACCGGCCTTTCCCTTTTGAGACTAGCACTTACTGTATGTGTACTGCGTCTCATCAGTCCTCGGTGTTGTGACATCGGCATACTTGAGTGGGTGCTCATACTAGATGAGTTCATTGAACTCCCTCGCCCTAGAAATCTTTAAGTGGTTCTCATTCATCGAGTAATAGGTTTCTAAGAGATAGTTGTACACCATTAGTCCTTAAGACCCAAACATCACCGTGACTTCACTAGAGGACCGATTGTATCGTGACCTGTCACTGAGTCCCACCGCGGACCACTCCAAGGGCCAACGTTCGTGCAATCCGAAATCTAGTGTGAAGTCTGTGCATTGTAGTAGGGGATTCGAGTGCTTGAGTAGTCATGGATGTCCTGTGTGTTCTGACGGTTTATAATCCATGGAATCTCTGGCCAGAGTCGATAGTGGGGTGATTAGGGAAATGTGTTTCCCTAAGTCGCACACGAACGGATTTATAATACCTAGAACGTTCGCACGGATATTGAACTTTATAAGAGGTCTCGGTGAACCAATGCCTCTAGTTCAATCGGGACATGTGCTGCGAAAGGATCGTACGGTACGCTAACTATATCATAACGTTCTTGCCGGCACTTCACTTGTATCTAGGGAATCATGATGCGTAGTTGCTAGACGCCAATCTTGATTCGTTGGGCACTGATTTGATCGGGGATTAGGTAAAATGAGTTTTACTCTAATCGGGACTCTTGGGAGGAGTTCGTATAAGAATAATGTGTTGTTCGAATCACAAAGAGTTGTGAGGCCACGACTAGCATACACCTGAACCATTCAGGGTCACACTTCTCGTGTAATATAGATCCTTGATAACAACAAGCATAGATTAATGTGTTAATCTTTGAACGATTGGATGTCGATATGATTGAATCCAAGATTCGTAATTGTGGATTGCGAATCGGAATAAACGTAGAGAAAGAGAGACATGCGGAATTTAGTGAACTTTCTAAATTGGGAAGTTTCCCGATTTAGCAAGTCCACTGAAGTGGAAGTTTCCAATTTTGGAAATTGGAAATTTCGAAGAGGCACTCGTATCGACGAGGACTTTGAGCTCATCACAAATATAATTTTGTTATAATTTTGTGAACGATCGTTTATTAGAAACGAAGCCGACGAGGGAATGGGCTTAATACATCAGTGGGTCAAGCCCAATTACTTAAACCCACTAGGGTTGAAAAACCCTAAGTATACATAGACCTCAAACAAGAGTTTGAGATCAGATTTTATGCACCAAACCCTAGCCGCTCAAGCCCTAGCCACTCTCTTCTCCTTTGTTTACTTGTTGTTTATCTAAATCGTTTACATCTAGTGCTGTATGTTTAGTGGGTCGAAAATACGAGGTGAAACCTAATTGGAGAGGAGCTTCTTCCCCGACGAATCCACGCACCGCCGCTGCACCGCCGCACGCGCCGCTACGCAATCCACGCGCCACCGCTGCTGCTGCCACGCGCCGCCGCTGCTGCTGCCACACACCGCCGTTCGTCGCTTGCTGGATCAGCTTGTTCCAGCCGTGAGTTGCAGCCCCGAGGATTGGTAATTTGCAGCTTGTACGTGATTGGTTTTAGGTTTCGATTCGTCGAAATCTCACGTTACAAGAGGTAAATAAATTGAAATTCTCGTAAATTAATTTGAGCATGTTCGTATGAATTATAATTTATGATTTAGAGTAATATGTGATTACGTGTTTCGATTTTATTGAATGATGAACAAGCATGTTTCGTAATTTTCGGTTTTACGTGTTTTTCAATTAAATCGATAATTACCATATGTATGGCGGAAGCGTTAAGGTACGTTGACTATGTGATTAGTTTATGAATGTAATCGAAACTAGTTCGATCTAAAATTTTTAAATTCCGCTGCGTATACATGCACGATCCCCAACACTAAGCACTACTTATTCCATAACTAAAATTTAGTTAGAAAATAAGAGAGTTAAAAATAAAACGTGGAAATAATCCACGTGTTTCAAACTCTCCCTTTTTAACTTTCTGATCAAAACTAAATTTTAGCTTAACTCCCCCTGAGTCATTGCTTGAACTCCCCCTGAATTTGACAACCAACATGAACATAAAAGTTCAGAGGAAAAAAAAAAACTGAACAAAACCAAATAATGTTCATAAAACAAATTAAAGTAGAATATCCAAGGTCTCCTGAGTATCAGCTGTTGTTTCTCCATCTGGACCTACTGCTTTCCTCTGCTTCTTCTTCATTAACTCCTTGCTCTCTGCCTCTAGCATCCAAGGGATGAGAAGTCCCTGCTTCAACTTCATGACTAACTTTTTCTCCCCATTTTTGATCAGAAAGAGCTTTCTGGTGCATGTCCACCATGGAGTGATGGTAGGTGATCTGAACTAGGGAGTGAGTAAGCTGTTTTAACAAAACAAATCTCGAGAAACAGAAATAAGGATGTCAGGAGTGTTGTCAACATGAGGAGCAACACCTTCTGTACCAAGATTATTTTGATCTGATTCAGTTTAGAGAAAATTATCTCCATTCCAGGGAAAATCATGGACATGAGGAGCTTTGAGAAAATTTTGAGAAACAGTTATCATGCCAAGTGGAGTGTGAAGATGTTCTGATTCATCTTGGCCCAAATTTTGAGAAAACATAATGAAGTAGATGAGAGAGGGATTTAAAACGATTGCCAGAAATAGTCTTACAAACCTCAGTAAAATCACCATAATTATCCTCATCAATTACAGTAGGAGTTTGTAAATGAGAGTTGATAATTTTGGGAGAGAAGGAAAAAATGGAATTTCGCACAAAAATTGTACCAAAGTTTGGAGAATTTAAAAAAAAATTGTAAATTGGCATAAACATTCCTTCACAACAGAAGGATCATAAGGACAGGCAACCTCAACTAGACTAAGGATTTTTCTTTGATCAAGAAAGGCAGTGATCATCATATGTCTATCAAACTCATCCTTCGAAATTTCGTTTTCCTCAATGAATTGGCAATTCATGATTTGAGGACTCAAATTTGAATCAGATTCAAAATAAAAGGTAGGACTGAAGGCATTGTTTACCTCAAACGGAGTTGACAGATCCTTCCCATCCAAGTCTAGCTCTTCTTCCTCAGAGGATTCCTCTTCTTCTGAGTCTTCAAGTTCATCTGGGATGTATGCTGGATCAGATGATGCAATAGGTGGAGCAGCATCTTCTTCCATCTGAGATGAGTCCTCCGAAGAATCACTGTCTGACTCTGAGGATGGCAAATTCTTGCGGAAAGAGGCAAGGGCACTTCCCAACTGTCATCACTTTTCTCTTTCTCTTCAACCTGGGAAGGTGGTGCATCCACTTGAACAGCTGCTTCTGCGAGAGTTTCCAGAGGGTCTTCAAGTGGTGCTGAGGGTGTTTCTTCAGTGGTAGTGAAATCCTGAGCATCAACAGTGGGAATGTCAACATGCTCGTAGAGGACATCCCAGAAAAATCAGGCATTTCTTCATCCTGGTAGGGAGCAGCATCCTCAGCAGCACTCTGAGGGGCATTGGCTGAGACACTGGGGGCAGCAGCATCTTCTGGAACATGTGCAGCAACATCTTCAGAAACAGGATGTTGGTGTTGGGTTTCGGGCACGTGTACGCAGCGGAAAACAAAAATTTTATGCGATTTAAACGACATTAAAGCACATAAGCACACGCCCGATAAATTAAATCAATTAATTGCGTACCTTTGCGCTTCCAGCGAAATTAAAAACAACATACATGCTAAATAATTTAACCGAAAACTAAATCAATTAACATGCTCGCGTTTAAACCAATTAACATGCTTGCAACGATTAAAACGTTTACACATAATCACATAAAATCATACTATAGCAAACATGAATTCATAGTTTAAACGTAGACGAATCGAAACTAGGGTTTCGTGTATTTACCTCTTGAAGCGTGAGGTAGGAGCGTTTAGCAAGTCGAGATTGCTACGGAAACCAATCCGTACAATCGGGGCAGCAATGGTGCAACAGCAGCGGCGGTGAGAAGGCCACGGCGGCGCGTGAATTTCACGCGCGGTCTTCCGGGGCGGCGCGTGGGGCAGCGTGCCGCTTCGGCTTGTGCGCTGCTCTTCGATTCTTCGATCTTCGATCTTCCTCCTCTCGGATTTCACCTCGTATACTTCGATCTACTAAACACGTGGCACTAGACACGTAATAGTTAGAATTAACGGAAGAAAAAGAAGGAAGAAAAAAGTACCGAAAGGGATCGGCCAATAGATGGCCGATTCCGGCGACGGAGGAGCGGCGACGGCGCGGTGGTGGCCGCGGGGAGAGTGGCCGAGAGAGAGAGGTGGACGGCCGCTAGGGTTAGGGTTTTCACTTGTGTGTGCAAGACCTATAAATCTTGTATTTATAGTGTCTTGCATAAAACCCTAGCGGGCTTAAGTTGGACCGGGCCCAACAGCTTAAGTTCGCTAGTACTTTTACTTGCTCGTTTCTCTCAATCCAATGATCAGAAAATTGCAACAATTACATTTTCGGAATCATTATAACATCCTCGTCGTTACGAGTGCCATCTTCCATTTGCCAACTTTCCAAAAGTGGAAACCCTAGTTCAGTGCACTTTCTAAATTTGGAAACTTCCTGATTTAGAAAGTCCACTACAACGTTCGCCTATTCTTTTCCTTTTCTTATTCTCATTCGTAATTCCAAATTACGAATGTTGGACTCAATCATATTGACTTCCAATTATGCAAAGATAAACTATTTTAGTTGGGAAGCTGCTGCTGCCATGTTAGGCTGAGATGTCTCCCCCTGAGTTGATGCTGGTGGAGTTGAGTCGTTGGAGGATGACTCAGTGGAGCTTGAGGAGAGAGCTTGGGCTTCTGGTTCTGCAAAGGTAGGATCTACTTCTTCATCATCTGTGTCTTCATCCACCAAATGAAGACCTCTTGGTGGGTTTTCCCTAACTGGAGTACGACCACCTCTACCGCCTCTTCTTCCACCTATGCCTCATCTTCTGGGAGAGTTATCTTCCCTCCGGCGTTGTGACCCAGCAATATTCAGATCTGGGAAGGGATTCATGCGCTTGGGCCGACGAGTTGGAAACCTTCATGCACTGGAAGAGGGACCCACATACTCGAAGTTGTCTGGGTCAATCGGATTCAGCTCGTCACCGGACTCAATAAAACTGATCGGCATAGCTTCAAGGTTGACAGGATGAACGATGACGGCCAGATTCGGGTCTGCTGGTTCAGGTGCTGCAGCATCGTTGTGGACATCACCGACGGCTGGAAGAGGATTTCTAGGAGGAGATGCCATGATACAGTAGATAAAAAAAATTGCTTCTTATGGTTTTAATTTTTGAGTGTGAATTTTCGAAAGAAGAAGCACGAAATTTATAAGCCCTAATTTTTGCTGAAAAAAAATTGAAGTGGAGAAGGTGAAGAAGTGGTGTGCGTTTTTCTTGGAGAACGTGTGATTAAGGAGAATAAAGGTTTATTTGGCAGTTTAACGCAAAACGTGACACATGGCACAATAAGGAGTGGACTTAGTGGAAGATAAAAGACTAACCCATGAACCCCATGACCATATAAACAGTGATAATTCAATAATAAATAAAATAATAAAAATAGTAGCAGTAGCACTCACGATATTTTCACAATAATAGAAAACACATCTATTAATGATTAATAGTGTGAGAAAAAAAATTGGCTAACAGGCATAGATTTTATTATATATATAAATTTTTTTATTTTTTTTTTATTATTTTTTTTTTGTGTTAAATAAAACTCTTATTTTCAAGTCAAACAATTCACATGGAACATGATCAAGTGTTCAGTTTGAAGGTTCCTCAGTTACTAAGATATGACTATCGAAATAGAGGAGTTTGACTTATGTGATTATAATTGTTCTCTGAATGTTTACATGAAGCATGATCACGTTTCAAGGTGAAAGACTTCCTGTTACTTATTTAGAGAATAATCTATCACAGTGAAGTCATTATTTAAAGAAGCTAAGCTTCAATAAATTATGTTGCAGCTTAAGATATTGGATGAGGTACTGCAACATATTTCAAGACATGTTTATTGAGTACACATCCCGAGAGATTTCCTAAGTTTAGAAAACCTCTCATAATCTAATGCCTTAGTAAAGATGTCAGCCAGCTGATCTTCTGTAGGAATGTACTTTAAGCACACTATATTTTTCTCAACTATATCACGAATAAAATGATGTTTAATATCTATGTGTTTAGTTCGTGAGTGTTGAACTGGATTTTTTGAAATATCAATAGCACTTGAATTATCACAATATATGGTCAGGATGTCACTGGTTAACCCATAATCCCCCAACATTTGTTTCATCCAAATTAGTTGACCAGAACATCCTCCAGCAGCTACATATTCTGATTCAGCTGTTGAAAGTGATACACAATTTTGTTTTCTACTGAACCATGAAACCAGATTATTCCCTAAAAAGAAACATGCACCTGAGGTGCTTTTTCTGTCACTAATATCCCCAACCCAAAAAGAATCACTAAAGCCTATCAAATTTGTATTAGTGTCTTTGAAAAACTGAATCCCTAAGTCTACTATACCTGCAACATACCTAATTATCCTCTTCACAGCTTTAAGATGAGTGACTTTGGGATTAGCTTGATACCTGGCACACACACAAACACTAAACATAATGTTAGGTCTGCTTGTTGTTAGATACAGAAGGCTTCCAATCATGCTTCTGTAAAGGGTGCTGTCAACATCTTCAGCAACATCATCCTTGGACAGTTTTTGACTTGAACCCATTGGAGTTTTCATGTGCTTGGTTGACTCCAACTCAAACCTTTTGACCAAACTGAGAGCATACTTCTTTTGATTTACAAAAATTCCTTCACCTGTCTGTTTGATTTGGAGTCCTAGGAAGTAATTCAACTCTCCTACCATGCTCATTTCAAAAGTGTGAGACATAGAATCTACAAAAGACTGTAAAAGGTTAGCGCAGGTAGAACCAAACACAATATCATCAACATATATCTAAACAATAATGATATGGTTATTTGTTCTTCTAACAAATAGAGTTATGTCTGCCTCTCCTCTGTTAAACTGTAATTCAAGTAAGAAGTCAGTGAGTCTTTGATACCAAGCTCTAGGAGCTTGTTTAAGACCATACAGAGCCTTCTTAAGCTTGAAAACATGATTAGGTTTGGCAGAATCTTCAAAACCCTTGGGCTGCTCTATATATGCTTCTTCAGTTAGAACAACATTCAGAAATGCACTTTTGATGTCCATCTGATACAACTTGATTTTAAGAAAACAGGCTATAGCAAGAAGTAATCTAATTGATTCAATTCTAGCTACTGGAGCAAAAGTTTCATCAAAGTCTATACCCTCAATTTGAGTATAACCTTGTGCTACTAACCTAGCCTTATTTCTAACAACTGTACCTTTTTCATCATTTTTGTTTTGAAGATCCACTTAGTTCCTATCACATTTACATTACTTGGTCTAGGAACGAAGTACCAAACATCATTCCTGATGAACTGATTCAGCTCTTCATGCATTGCATTAATCCAAAACTCATCCTTCAGTGCTTCTGCAATATTCCTTGGTTCGACTGAAAATACAAAGCAAGTAGTTCCAGTTAGTGCACATTCAGAAGATAAATTTGCAAATCTTACCATATCTCTGTAATTCACTCTCTCTTTTCTTTTGGTCCTTATCCCATCAAAGATATCTCCCACAACTTGAGTAGAGGGGTGATTTTTCTGGATTCTACTTGATGGTTCATTTCTGCAGACATCATGAGTTGGCTGTAATTCAGCTTATGTGATCTCAGTAGGATGTATTGAGTCAGATGTGGTAACACTTGGTTCAACACCCCTGTCGGCGCCATATTTCCGGCTATTGAAGATCGAGGAAATCCGCCATGTTTTGGAATTAAAAGATTGGCAAAGATTTGTTTTCCATATTTATTTTGGAATTTATTAGAGTCCTATTCTTATAATACTTCTATTAGGACCTAGATTTATTTCCATGTATTTTATTCTAGTTAGGTATCTTTTGTATTTATCTAGAATAGAAGTAGAAATCAACTAGGATTCTATTTCCTAGTTAAATAGATTTCTTGGGGTTCAAGTTAGGTCTTAGGGCTTATTTTCGTGGCTATATAAGCCTCCAAGACATACAAGAACCGGGGACATTATTTGGGAGAAAAACCACTTCATAGCATCGAAGTTTTGCCAAGGCGTTCTGCGTAGCAGGACTGTGCCATCGTTGCACTGTGCCAACATATACAGATTTGCTGTATAGATCTCAAGGGAGATCAGCCGCGTTTTCTGAAGGAAGTTCAGGCTTGACGAAAGTTCAAGGCACGCGGAGTGGAGCTAAAAGAGAGAGACACGGAGTTCGAGTTGTGTACAAGAACGGCATATTACATAAAGAGGGAGTCTTTAGTGTTTTTAATAAGTCCTATTAATGTACACTGTAAATCTAAACTAGTGAAATCGTGTTTGCAGGTCCACGTGGATGTAGGGCACATTTGTGTCTGAACCACATTAATTCCTTGTGTTCATTTATTTCCTTTAAGTATTTACTGCGGAGATCAGCAAAATCATCAAATACCACATTTACAGATTCAATAATGGTTCGTGTCTTAAGTTATATACGCTATATGCATGACTGTTATTAGAGTATCCCATAAATAAACTCAAATCACTTTTTGAATCTAATTTAGCTAGATGATCTCTATCATTTAGGACATAGCAAACACATCCAAACACATGCATGTATTCTAGATTAGGTTTCTTACCATAAAGAGTTTCAACACACACAAACACATATTTTTTACCACCTAGACTTTCTACCTCTATAGGACCCATAAGATCCATATGTACAAGTTGAAAACAAATGGTGGTACCAACGTGTTGTAACACTTTGTATGGCACTCTAGTTTGCTTTCCCTTCTGGCACATTCCGCATATAGGCATTGTACTTGTTGAGAAGCTTCAGATTTTTGAAGTTTGTGTGCCCTAGTTTCTAGTGCCACAACTCTACTTCACTTACTCTTGAGCTCTTGCATGAGATGGTATCACCTGTTTGATAACAATTATCCATTGACCTGGAACCTGTCAGTACACAACGATTTTGATTATCAAACATAGAACAACAGTATTTATCAAATTTAACACGTATTTCATCATCACACAATTGACTAATACTGATGAGATTTGACCCCAATCCTTCAACATGTAAGACATTTGAAAGTTTTGGAAGTCCCTCAATACAGAGTGTTCCACGTCCAACCACTTTGCCTTTAGCTCCTCCTCCATAGGTTACACGTCCTCCATTGAGTGTATGGTAGTTTGATAGAATTAGTATCAGTCATGTGCCTAGAGCATCCACTATCAAAGTACCATGAACCTGAAATGTTAGAATTTTAAGAAGTGTATACTTCTTTGCACATAAGCTTACCTTTGGGAGTCCATATTCTACACTCCTTTTTGGTAATTTCTACCTTTTTCTTTGAGGTGTTCCTTGGAGTGATGTGGCTCATTTTGTACAACATTTTGTCACTACTTAGTTTTTCACAAAATGGACGAATATGTCCTGGTGAGAAACAATAATGACAAATGCATCCCCTTATTCTGGAATCTGGAGTGGTGACTGTGGAATTCATGCTTTCCTTTCCGTTTGCACCCTTTTCTTTACAAAGACAATTTCTTTCTTCTTCACTGGCTTGTGTTTCTTAACTTGTGTTTTGAACCCTAGCCCTTCATTTTTGTAGTACTTTTCCAGTGACACAATCTCTTCGAGTTTAATTGTGCCAGTATTCATCCTCTTTATTCCTTGAGTTGCTTCTTTGAGTTCATCTTTCACCTTTGCCAGTTCAAGATCCTTCATGGTCATACCAACCTCCAAATGTGTGATTGTTTCTTTAAGGGAAGAGTTTTCCTTGTTGGCTGCATCTAGAGCTTGAGTCTTCTTCTCCAGGTCAATAACCAATTTCTTACATATTTCTTCCTCATTACTAACTGCTTCTTTACTGGATTCTGCTGCATTCAAAGAAATAGAGTTTAAACATGTATAATGATCAGTATTTAACTCAAAAATTTCAGTTACTGAAAGTGTTTCAGAAAGTGTTGATGCATCTAGAGAAACTCCTTGTGATTTTGTTTCAGAAGCACTTCCAGTGATATATCTGACAGAAAGATCTTGTTTAGTGGATTGCTGTTCCTCTGTCTGTTCAGGTTGCTCTTCCTCCTCATCACTGACAGCACAAATCAAACTCATTCCTCTTCTTCTCAAGGTATTTGCACATTCATTAGC